AGCATCTCAGTGCAAGAAAAGCCTACTGCAGGGCTACTGATCCAGAATCAAAATTCACAGCTGCAGGTACCAGACTGGATTTTCTGTTCACTTGGGAATGTTACTTTCAAGTCTGTAGCCTGTGACTATGGCTCCAGAAATTACAATGATCAGCTTAAAGAAGTTGCTGTTGTAGCAACTTTAGTGTTCCAGCCACAACTGAAGCTGAAGCTAATTTAATAAGTCTTCCATTTAGTGTAAGTTTTAAGACAAGTTACATAAAGAGTATGCTGATATCACTTAATTTTCCAGGATGATCATGAGCTGGCCTATTTCAGGGAGCCTCTGTGGTTTCACCTAGCTGCTCATTCTCACCTTCTTTCCTGTGAGTCCATCTGTCAGTGGCAGCACTCCATCACCACCAAATTGTTCCTCTTTCAAAAGGAACAATATAATTTTCACAAACTGAAAAACATAAAACCAGCTATTTAATCACAAATAACATGAAACAATAACAATAACAAAGCTCAAAAAACCCCCAAAGGTTTAGCTCCTGCATTCAATAAACACTTCCACACTGCTAGGATGGTTCAAGTATTTATATTTAGTTCACTCACACTGAGTTGGCAGACAGAAGTGAAACAGCCAGACTTGTCCTAACTACTCAGCTCACAATGGGTCTATTGTAAGGATAGAATGAACAAAACCTCGTTCAAAGGCAGAAATTTACATCAATCTCTCTATACAATTCTCATTATACCACTCAAGAAACACCAAATTGTTTCATTTTTAGTCATAAGACAGAATTCAATACTCAGCTAAATTTAAGGCGAACAGATTTGCACGAGGAGAAAACGATCAGGAGCTGAATTTGTAACTTCATTCCTGAACCAAAGCACACATCACCATTAGAAGGTGCAATTCTGCCTGGGTAGAAATGCAGAAAGCAGAGTTCAAAACACTTCTTCATGCAAACTGGCAGCAGAGTGCCTATGGAGATAAAAGACAACCACGGAAGGCAAGGGGAAAGGGGTGGCTGCTCCAGCTACAGTTTCATCCTCTCAGATTTTGAATGTTGCAAGTTCACCCTCACACCTTCCCATCCTCATGAAGATACGCTTTTCTTGAAATAAAACAAAGCTACAGTTAATCTTTGTTTCTTATGATGTTTGGCTTTTTTTTTTTTTTTAGTATTAAAAGAACTGTGATTTCTCTAGATCTCCTGCCTTACTACATGAAGTATTACAAGTTTTAGTTACATTAATGCACGTGTACAATCATTAATTCAAAGTTTCACATATAAATGCTTTAGAGCTGCTGTTTATTACAGTTGCTGTCTAATAGCCACTGTAACAAAATCAGAAAATAAATTAGTCAGTATAAATCTTAAGACTCAGAATAACTAGTCTGAAGCTTTTGCATACAGAAAACAGAAATAAATATGGCCAGTCATGAATACCAGAGACAAAATATATTCAGACCTGTAACTCTTATACAGAAATTTCAATGCACACTTGGAAACAGTAATCATCATGTTGATAAATAATTAAAATAACTAACAAAACCTCCAACACTTTCACTGGAGTGCTCTGAATAACGAAGTACCAAGGAGACCTTCACATATAGAAACAATACAGCATACAAACAATTCCAGTCTTTAAGATACGGGACCCTAAAAAGAGTGATTTTGGCTTCAGAGCTGGCAACGAACAGACCTCAAAAAGATAAACATTTGATAAGAGGGTATTGTGGTAAGACATATGTACCCTGCCTAAGAAAACCCCCAAAACCAGAGCATACTTTCTAGGAACACAATGACACACTTGTCACCAGAAAGATACCGCTTTCAAGACAGCCTCTCCTTCCTCAACTACAAAAAAAAAAAAAAAAAAAAAAAAAAAAAAAAAAAAAAANAAAAAAAAAAAAAAAAAAACAAAAAAATATACCCACTTACAAATGTAAAAGTTAACTTTTAAAATATTAACAAAGGAAGTCTCACAAATGTAAGGGAACTGTCATGCAATGCTTCAGAAGCAGAGGTGTTGATGAAACATCAAAGGAAAATGGAAGTGTGTTTTTGGAACCATAACTTCCTGATGTGTTCTTGCTCAGCAAGTACATTTAGGGTTTTCTTTAGCCTACTCAAAACCACCTAACCCTATAATTCATTCTCTTGAAAATGCTGGCATCTCTCCTTGGTGAAGGATTCTAGCTTCAAATAAAAAGACTCAGTAGATCACAGAATCAAAGAGATGAACACTTTGATAGAGTAATTGAAGTATCAACAAATATACCATTTACATAGCATATAGTTATTTGAGGTTAAAGAACGGAGACTTAAAATTCTTGACTTCTAGAATTTAAGGACTTTTTAAAGTCCTTTTAAGAATATTTTTTTAAGGACTCAAGAATTTTTTTCATTTTCATGAGCTTCAGCTGCAAAAAAAAAATATTGCAATTGTCATAAAACCTTCTGATAGTAACAAAGCAGAGTTAAAGACAGGCATTTGATTAGCGGTTTTGCAAGATCTCCCTTTAAGGCCAAATTGAAAAACTATTTACATAATTACTAAGTAAGAAAGCTGCAACAGTGGTGAACTAGAAACTAAGAGCATAACATGATAGCAGTGATAGATTATCTTTTCTTTATAGAAGCTCACACTTCGGGTTGCATTACCAAGCATTTATGCATATAAGGGAAATCAAGAGTCAAAGTGTTTTCTGTCCACACATGAGACACATCTTTAAGACATTTTGAAATCACTTTCAAGTTCAATTCAAGTTTTATTCACTCCTAGGACAGGACATTATTCCCATTTCACAGTTAATGCAAAATACAAGTTGCATTGCCACAGCTACAAAGTAAAATAATTGTAACAAAATGTTTCTTCCTCCCAACAGAAACATGTAATTTTCCTTGCTCATTCTCACATTATATTATTTCCTTTGCACTATGATCACGCGGATTGTTATCAGTTTAGCATTCATGGAGATGCACATCCAGGCACAAAACAACACTCCTGCATGGAAGCTCAGTGTGATACCAGCACCTTCACTGCTCTGCCCATACTTTTACCATCTACATTTTTCTTTCAACGCTGCAAGTGGAAAGCAAGGAGTGCCAATTATGAAATGGGTTTGTGCTACAGACAGATGGTCACTGGCATGACACTGATGTCATACTCTCCACTTACAAAGTTAAAGGCTAATTCTGCAGAAACCAAATGCTACCACACCATAACAACTGCCATGGCTGGGAATGACGTGGAGCAAACTCCACTCTCATTATCATGGATCTTTTTTTTTTTTTTTCTGACCATTTTTAAGCAAACACCACAGGTATGAAGGTAACCTTACATTCAGTGCTGAACAGCAACAGCTGCTATGCCCCTGACTTTGAGAAACACTAGAACTCCCATGACTCTCATGTGCTTATTTACCTGCTATGTCAATAAACACTGCAAATATTTCTACAGCTCTCACACATGTTTACTTATGTATTTCCAAACACACTTTTAATAAATTTGTTGCACCGCATTTAGAAATAACTTGCAGGACCACGATTGCCTATTTGTTGTACAGAATTACCTACTCAGGTTCTGAATACGTGATCTCCAAGCTTCCTCATTCAAAACAGAGTTGTCAACATCATTTACTGTTGCCAACTGTGGCTTACATACAATGTATGACCAGTTAAAGAAGCCCGTGTGTTTTGGTGAGCACTAACCACTGCTTTTAACATTGTGTGCTTAAGATCTGCTCAGAACAAAACAAAACAACTGGCTACTGAAAGATGGTAGCGATCCTTTTGGATGAGGGCACAAAGCTTTTAATGCAGTTCCAGCGAACGCAGGATGGTAGCAAAATACAGCAGTAAAGAAGTCAGGAAAAAAAGAACAACACAGCTGAAAATTATCTGCTACAGCATGCAATTAAAAATTTGAAAATTACTACACTCATAAAAGGCTAAAAAAATTCTGAATGTCCTTCTACCTCTTTTTCTTTTGAAATTACACCTTAATTCGCACATTCTCATGTGCTTCCCCTTCTGAAGACAGTTCACTCTGCAGAAACTCAAAGTGGTAAGGACAGCTAGTTTACATACACTGCTGCCCGACAACAGCAGTGATTAACTACAGATCATCTACGACCACTCCGGCTGCTCCCCGGTGCCTCACCAAAATATTTTCGCTCTGGAAGAGGAGGCCTGTGACAGCGACAGCACACTATGTCACCTGCACAGGATACTGCAGCCACAGCAGTACCATCACTCAACACACTCCAAAAGCTGAACTGCATTTACCCATGAGCAAGCAAGTCGCGCAAAGGGACAAGACATTTAAATGCAAGCGTAAGGAGATGAAAGGCATGTCAGTCACAGTGCGGGGGTCTCTTTCCACCAAGAGGGAGGAGACCGTTCAGACCCTACAGAAATACACCTCGATATCTCTGCTGTGCCAGCCCATCACAGCGCGGTGAGAGTTGGACACCCAGGGTCCGCCAGAGCTGCTCTTGAGCCTCTCCCCGAGTCCCCGGGGGCAGCCGGGGTGGGCGCAGGGCCTGTCCGCTGTCCCCGCTGTCCCCGGTGCCGCCCGGCGCGCGGCTCCCCCTTCAGGCGCGGCTCCCCCTTTCCGCGCGCACCCCGCGCGCAGCCCCGCGCGCCCCGCACCTGTTGCCGCCGCGCCGCCCTCAGCCGCGCGCTGCCCGCGGCCCCTCGCGCCTCCCGGCTGACTCACGCGGGGGCGCGGAACGCGCAGGGGGCGGGGCCAGCGCCGCGCGAGCGCCGACGGGTCCCTGCCCGGGACAAAACAGGCAGAGACGGGAGCGACACGTGGGCGCGCGTCGGGAAATGCTCGAGGCGCAAGTAAAGAGCCCGGGGCCGGCCCGTGCGGGATCGGTGACAGCGACAGCGCCCGCCCGGCCCTTCCTGCTCCGCAAAGCCGCCCGTCAGCTGCTGCTTTAACGGGGAGCGGGCCAATGTACAGCTTCCCCTCCAGACCAGCCTGCTCTGAATAGATGTCATGCCACCGGTGCGGGTGCGTGCACGTGTTGGTGCGAGCCATGCACACATGTCTAAGTGTGCTTTTCTACAGGCATAGATTTCACAGAATACATTTGAAATATGTACACATAAATATTTGTATATATACAATATGCATATACACCTATGTGCATATACATACACTATACACACACACATACATATCCCTTTATGGATCTATACATGTGTTTCTGTTTGTATGAGTTTTGTAAAATGTACTGTTAATGTTATGTCAGCTCTTAGTCAACCAATCTTTATGTTGCCTGAAACTTCCATTTAAAAGCCATGGTTCCAAACACAGCTATAGGCTCTCCTTTATAAATTCCTGCATTTTCTAAGGATAGCTATTAAATTTCTATTAGAGTGTTTCCTCCACTAATGGGAATGGTTACTCCATATTTTTTTCAATAATAACAATCACCAGCTGTAAGCATGGTTTCTTCATTTATCAGTTCTGGCTGCCTGGCAAAATTTGGATTACTTATTTTTGTGACAGTATTTCCCCTCTAATCCCTGACACAAGAAGTACACAAGATTAAAATTTACAACCTTCATATGAATTTACATGTACATTTTATATTGTCCACTTCTTGTGCATTTCTCTTTCCGTTCTTTTAAAATGCAAGTATTATTTTGTCATAACACTAAAAACCGTTTTCCAGAATAAAAGACTACATAACCAGTTTGTTGCTGAGTGTGTTGCATCTAGAAAACCTTTCTCATGCCTGGACAGCACATCTAAATTACTGCTGTTTCCTGGTGGCTCAAAGAATACTTGGAAAATAAAGAGAAGACCAAAGTCCATGATGATAGGTATTTAGCAAATTATGGCTAATGAGAGTGCAAAAGAAAGTCATGTGAAGGAAATCAAGCCTTCCAGGTGTGTTAGCTCCTTCTTGCCATGCAAAGGCTGGGTGGTTTGCACCAAGACACAGAAATTGTTCCTGCCTTCCCAAGATGTTTTTGCTTTAAAGAAATCCTTTTGCTCAAGGAAAGAATGTTATTCTTGGACATCAAAACAGTAAAGCAAAGGGAAGATTTCACATGATGCATCCAAATGAAAAATGAAAGACCTAATGAGTCAGCATAAAAATACCACAGGACAATGTCTGCTCCCTCAGCCTTGTCATTCTCTGTGTGTGGGTAGGATGTTACTCCTAGAAAGCTGCACAGTGAGTCCTGCCCATGCAGGACTGAAAGAAGGGGACTTTCTGTCTGTCCACATCCAGGGTAAATCCACTGTGTGTTCCCTGCTCTTCAGTGGGCAGGATTAATCCGTTTCCTCTGGTTATTCTGACATATGGACAAGACTGTTTTCAATCAGCTACAGCTCATTGCATCCCTTAGACAAGTAATCCAGCAGGGACACGCAGGTCCCCATGCTGATGTAAATGCCAAAGCAAAGACAGTCAATGGACAGCTCCTGCAGAAAGCACCGCTCAGCCACAGTGCTCAGAAAGCTCACCTGAGAGCCTAGAGGCTGAAGTCTGAAGCCTAGAACAGCTGCAGGCAGGGAGGGAAGTCAAGGCCTGTGTGAAACCCATCCCTTCATTATCCAGCTTACTACACTGAGAGTTGCTTAACTGAAAGAAATGTGTACAAGCAGAAAGTTTGGATTTATTAATTCTCCATCTTCAGGTATGAAAAATGTTGTCTGTTTTTGGAGGGCATGTACCAAAGGAACTGAAATCAGTGGAGCTACTCCAGGGGTGCATTTGGACTTTCAAAGAAAAAACTGCAGAAATCACAAGACTGTTTGAGGCAGAGACCTCATGTGAGTCATATGAGCTGTTATTACAGACACAGAGGGATGGGGAGGGGCAAGGAGAAAAAAAAAGAGATACAGTTTAATTTAAATGGGACAACACGGGAGACATGCTGTGTCTAAGTGCTGTCAGACCACGATGCAGCAGCTGCTGTTCAGAGAGAAGGGGCTCCCAACAAATCCAAGGCCTTCAGCACGTGGAAGCAGTGACTGCAGCAGAGGTATTTAATATCACATTGTGATGCTTCTGCATTGAGATAGACTAAGCCTGGGTGCTTCCACTTGTGTGAGTGCAAAGCCGTCGCATTTGCTTCTAACCAGAGAGCATCAAACTTTGCAGCTTCAGGCTTGTAAAGCTGCTGAAAGAGGAATCTGTACCTTAGATGACAATAAATGCCTTTGATGTGATGAGCAGGGAGAGAAGATTGCACTTCAAGTTCTATGCTGATGAGAGATTGTGAAACAGGGAGGCAGCCAATAACCAATATGGGTCTGGAGGAGGCAGCATGCCACAGATTGCAAATCCTGTTTTGTCAAATTATAATCCATTCAATATAGCTGCTCAGGAGGAGCTTGAAGCCTGCTTGCCATTCATTGCTACTTCTTTTACAGTTGTGTAGTGTACAGCACTGTTCTGCTGTATGGGCCAAATTAACAGGCTATGTAAATTACACCGTGGTGAGGAAGGAGACGAGAGGTGAGGGATTAAAGAGGAGAAGAATACATAAATGTAAAGTTCCTAAAATTTCATTTCAGCATTTGGTTTTTGGTCCTGCCTTAACAGGTTATTTAGAGATGAAATATTCAAGGGTAAGGGGGAATAACATGCATTTAGAAGGAAGCTGGCAGAAGTACCCTCTGCTTAAGTTAAGGCAGCTTTATCTTTGCGTGTTCTGAGTGAGCACTACCATTTACCAACACAGGAACACACAGACAGTTGCTCCCCTTACAGGCAGTACTGGAGATCTATGAGTAGTAGAGAGGGAAATGAAAATTATGTGCATTGCTCAAAGCCACTGCAGTCGAGGAGGAAGAAAAGAAACTCATCAGTAGAATGGTAGTTTGCCAGTGTCAGTTTGTCCCCTTTTCCTATGCCAGCTGTTAGATGTAACCAGAGCATCCCTTTCTCTACTCGCTGCAGCCCCTGCAGCTCCACACCCTCCAGAGCTGGAGGTACAGGACACAGTGACCTTGGAGTTACACTGATTCTTTCCAGGAGTAGGATGTTGTGGAGAGGTTCAAATGGGTGAAGTGCAGCATCCATAGAGCCAGACAAGAGATATTTTATCCTATGGTTATTCCAGCCATAAATCAGTACTTAATTACTGAATGACCTGCTAGTATCTTCTTGTTCTACCCAGCAATATAAAACACATACCAATTTCTTCATGAAGCAGAGTCAAGGCATCCCGTTTGGAGCTGCCACATCCTATGTACATCTAGAGAAGCTGTGTGAAGGATCCTGTGCAACTGTGTACAAGGGGATCAGCAGGTGAGCAATATTCCTTTCCAGTGCTTGCTGAAAACATCTCCTATGGAAGATAAAGGTAAATCAAAAGTCCAGTTTTGCCTTTAACCAGAATATTTTCTAAGCCCCATCCCAATTTTTCAGAGAACTCCTCCATGCAATCATGGAGGCACCACAAAGACTCTTTGATCCACAGCAGTGTGCCAGGAGACTGTCTGGCTGAACCAGGGAGAGAGCAAAGGTTTTCCTTGAAGTGAGGGATCTCTGCATGATTGAAAAATTGAGTGTGAGGTCATGCTGCCATCACACAGGGGCAGGAAAGCTGTGAGAAGGTGGAGTGGAGCCACTGCTCAATGCCATGCCCTAACAATACCTGGACAGCAGCACAGTGCTTCTCTAGCCAGGTGGGCTGGCTCCCATTGCTAATGAACACAAGATGGAGCAGGTTTGTAATTCTCTTCCGAGCTTGGCCTGACTGGGTCAGCAAGCCCTAGAAATTTTGCTTGGGTATTTGCTTGGGAGACTGTTACTGTTATCATGCCAAGCACGGAGAAACTTCATGTGACTTTCTACTGTGACCTGACAGGATCAACAGCCAGTTGGTGGCACTGAAAGTGATCAAGCTGGAGGCAGAGGAGGGAGTGCCCTTTACAGCGATTCGGGAAGGTAAGACATAGAGGAACATCACTCTTGAAAGGCATTTGTTTTAACCTAGAAAAGCTCCATGATGTCTCCCTCAGTCCTTTTTTGCTTATTCGATGTGCTGGCTGTCCTTCTCCCAGAATTCTGTTTCCTTACCCTCTCATGGAGGATGTCTTCACACTGGGCTGGATAGGCATGCAATGTACAGAGGAGGAATCTCTGCTGTATGCACTTGTGACAGATGCCTGTGAGAAGAAAAGTGCCAGGTGCAGCCAGAGCATGTTCTTTCTAGCAGTGTCAGGGCCCTCTTTCACCTTTTGCTTGCTGCCCCCTTCACAGTTGCTTTCTCACTCTCTCTAGAAACTACACAGCTTTTGCCACTGCTGGATTGGACAGTTGTGGACTTGTTACTACAACCATGACACTTTCCTAGCTGATATATGGAGGATCACAGATCCCACCTGAAGAGATACTTTCAATAAAACTGATGTTTAACAACATCTGTCATTTCAGTCCAGTGAGAAATTCTTCTTATCAGTCAACTTTGTAGAACACTGGGCAAAATGTCTGCAGATTTTTCAATTTCTTGGAGAAATAAATGCTTTTGTGCAAGTGCTTGATTTTGGCTGAAAGTATTTACATTTCCCTACAGACTGAGTTGACAAGCCTGGATAACTGAGGCTTCTATTTTCATCTCCTGTACAATCCCGAGAAGACCATGATCTGTTTTCTTCCATACACAGAAATATGCAACTGTTGTGCCAGTCTGTTTTATGGTATTAGTGAAAGCTATCAATGTAAGACGACACACACAGGGGGTTTTTTTTAGCTCTTACTGTACTTGTGAAACTAGGGTTAATCTTGTCACAGGGATGGAGAGTCAGGGAACAGATGTGCCAGCTTTCACAGAGCAGCACTAGCACAGAAGGGCTCTCATAGCAGTCAACTCAGAATAACGAGAGAGGTCACTGAATCCACTTCAGGTTTATAACTGTAATTAAGACAAGAACGTTTACTAAGTCCTTAGTCCAATTCTGTGTGAAAGCAGAGACACACCTATTATGCCTATTTTTAAAATGGCTTGTGTTACAGTTTCCAATACACTCATTTGCTGTGGTGCTTTTGCACTGCATTTACACTCGTAGCCCACCAGTAAAATAAGCCTTAAAAGCTTTATCTGCATTGAACTAATGATGAGCTAAAGATCAGCACCCCTTTAACATGCTCTACTGGACAGGCTGAGAGTCTTAACTTCATTCATTATGGGAGAAAACAAGGGTGATCCTATGAAGGGTCTGCTTTAAGTAGGTCTTTTGTGTACTGCTGAGCTTTGCAGCATCTGACACCTCAAATTTACAATGTAAGTCAGTAGCAAAAACAAAGCACAAGATTTATTAACGCGGCGCATTCTCTGCTACCCTGGAGGAATGCGCTCTCCTGACAAAGAGACGCTTCACCCCAGGAAGCCCCGCAGAGACAAAATGCGTTTAAAGCTCGGTTCTGGCAGTAGCACCTGACACCCCAGCAGGGGGTTGTAGAAGCAACAAAGTGAGGAGCAGTTCCCAGAAGCCTGATTGAGGCACAGGCTCTGAATCCTCCATTTTACTGTGGACCCTCTGTGCTGCCCCTCTGGAGCAATAGCTTCGGTCATACGGAATTTTTGAAGTATTAGAGTCAGGTTATCATGTTCTGTAGCAGATGGGCTCTAGCCAGAGTATGTTTACTAGGTTTATAGGCAATTAGATGCAGTGTGGAGCATGTTTAAGGTCCATACTGGTGTGCACTGGAAACATACTGTAGCTAAATGGACTAGTATCAATAGCAGAGGCAGTATAGCTGCAGCAACACCAAACTCTGTGCAAGAACTACTTTTCAATCTGCTGTTTCTAGTAGTTGTGCTGAATCAGGCATCCCTTATTGCTCAGTAGTCTCAGAACTGACACAGGCTTGGGCCACAGCTGTGTCGTACAGTGCAACTGGCAGTAGGGCTTTTAGAACCAGGTGAAATTGTTATGGTCGCAAAAGACAAAGTGCCAATCCAGTATAAATTTGCTTTGCCAGCATGAAACGCTTCAAATACCTTTTTCAGATCCTTTGAAAAACAAAAAAGCAGCTTTTAATTGTGAGTAAAACTCTGCCTCCCACAGCTGGCCCGTGCTCTGTATTGTGTGCTTCAGCTAATTCAGCTGAAACAAGATTGTACGCCCATGCCTTATTTGAATGAAATTTGTAGCACTGCATGGTCTGACAGTAAACTAATTAGTTTTTACTCAGCAGCAAAAAGTAGGTCTGAAACAGCTCTGAGGCTATTCTGCTATGCCAAAAGCAGAACTAAAATCCCGAGTCAGAGACACCTGCTTTACTGGGGCTTTGGGGCTTCGTTCTGTACAGTTAGTGTTCCCTGTCTGTGAACAGCTGGGTCAGATTCTTCAGTTGTGCCAGTGACCTACAGGTAAGTAATCCCAGCTTCACCTCTTCCCCACATTCCTCCTCTGTACAGAGTTACTGCTATATTGTCTCACACCTAAGGTAGAAAATAATTAAGCTGTGAATGCTCCTCCCACGTGAAGAGTTACTGCTGAGAAGCTCCTTTCACGAGTGTGCTGGCTGGATCCTGCTCTAACACAGCAAACCAATGCACAGCCAAAATGCTCAGAAGGCTGCAGCTCTTGTCTTAGAGTAAATCAGTGCTCTGTGGTCTATATGGGGACAGAGACTCTTCCACGTGCTGCCCCCTGCATCACCACACCCTGGATATACCAAGGCTTGGCAAAAGCTTGTCAGGACCTGAGGACCAGGGACACACAGTGCAATGATGCTTTTGGATAGTTAGGCTGAAAGAAAAGCTTGCAGAAATTTTATAAACACAAACAAGTTACTATTCACTCTGTAACTTCATCATCTCTGTTCTTAGAGTTTTTAACCAGAGACAGTAACCAATATGCACAGAACTAAACTAGGAATTTAGCTTTTATCTACAGTGATTTCTTTTTGCAGATTTTTGCTCTGTTGTTGTGAAGCTGGAAACTAGTAGAAACTCAGCTTTTCCCCGAAGTCTCTTGTACGGGCCCTACTGAGGGCACACACCAGAGGGTGGATGGGAAAGGATGAGAAGCTCAGTGACAGGCTGGAGGCTGCTGCACTCCGGCTCTGGGAGTTCCCGTGTCCTGCCTCTCAGCATTTACCTTGAAGAAATTATTTCTCCTCAGCTTATAAGCTGACACCTGGGGACTGTGAACTGCTATTTCTGACAGAGGCAAGATCCCACCTCTGAGGGATGGACGGGTTCCTGCCAAGGCTGGAACACTGATACTTGCTTCTCTGCGGAGCTGATCCATCCTCCTTCAGGCTCACTAGCTGCCACTTCTTACAGAACTGCCAAGTCTGGACTATTACTCCCCAGTATTTTCTTTTCACTGCCTTGTTTTGTGCACGTTCTCCTTCCACTTCCAGCAGCAGTAAAGTTGATCTTCCTTTTGTGTTTTCCCAGCTTCTCTTCTCAAGTGTTTGAAACATGCCAACATTGTACTGCTTCATGACATTATCCAGACCAAGGAGACACTAACATTTGTCTTAGAGTACATGGTGAGTTGATGTTTTTCTAGCTTCCTGTGGAGCTAGTACTGGGAAGTACTGGGAAGTGGCTGCAGAATGAATTTGCTGCACTATGAGACATCTACAAAGAAACAAGTTGTAATGCTTTAGTGCAATGATTGATTTTCCTTCTTGATCTCCTGCTTTCCAGCCACACAGCTTTACTCTTTTCTTTCTGTATATGCGACAGCTGTATGCAAAAATAATTCCATGTCTTGTGTCCACTGGGGTGGCAGACGTTATTTACCTCCATTTCTGCCTTGCCAACACAATAAAAGTACTGTTTTTGAGCCACAGCAAGGATAGGAAATAATGATATGAGCTCACACCCCAGCTGGGGTCAGATTTGGCACTGACCCCAGTGGCTTACCATGACCAAGCTCTGAGTTGCTCTCATGGGGAGACCAGGATACCAATAAAATTCTCCACATGAATCTTGCTGCTTCTGTTGCTTTGGCAGGTAGTCAACCAAATTATAAAGAAAATATAGAAACTATGTCTTCTTATCACAGCTTTATGATTAGTTCTGGCACAAGTATGAATTCTGTAAACCAGCAGCTTCAGGTCATAAATACTGGTGAGATAACAGGTCAGCCAGGTCCCTGATGTGACCCAAAACTTAAGCAAATGCTTGTGTCCTGCATCAGACCAGATGTTCACCCAGGTGAAATAGGCACCTTTTGTAGCAGTTGCATATTTTTCCATTTACAGAAGGGACACTGTTGGCAGAGGCATTTTACAGCAGAAGCTTTGCCTGAAGTTGTTCTCTTTTATTTAGCACACAGATCTAGCACAGTACATGGGCCAGCATCCTGGAGGACTCCATTCATGCAATGTTATGGTGAGTTCCTTAGAAGACTCTTACCCCTTAAGACATGAGGAAGAGTATGGTCACTGTAAATTGCTAATGTTTATTTGTTACATATATGACAAAAACTTTGGAGAAAACCTGCTTTTGATGATGTAACAATCTCCCTCTCAGTCTCCAAGCTTTTTTTTCAGTTAGCCCCTCTTCATATTTTCTGAGCCTGCAAGCAGACATTCAGCTTTTTTAAGCAATGACATCTTGTGGCAAGGAAACCTATCTCTACACAAATTTGTATCCTCTTATTGTTACAACACATTATTAATCTCTTTACTTAAAAGCTCTCACATCTCACTCTCTTTTTATTTGGAACTATCTTCATATTTGCAGTCATTTAAGTCCCTTTTGTTTCCCCCATAGCTTTTGGGATTGGTTGACTGGATCTGAACACAGCCAAACATGTACCCTTACTTTACAGATCGATGTTATGATAGTCTCCTGCTCTCCTTTGTATGCATCTTCACATTTAATTAACTTTCAGGACTGCTGCTGCATGCTGGCTTAAGGTTTCAGTGCAGATGTCCTCAGTGAATGCCTGGGTCCTTTTCCTGAGCAACTTCAGTTAATTTATCTTACAGCTGTCAACAATAACTTTGTAACTTATCAAACTGCTTATTCATCTGGCTTTGTCAGATCTCTCTAAAGTTCCTCGCTGTCACTTCTTATCACAACTAATCTAAATACTTCTGTCATCTTCAAATGTTGCCACATTGTTCACATCTTTTTCCAGATAGTTGTTAAGCAACACCAATTCTAATGATGTTTTTTGGGGCCTCAGATTTTAAACATCCTTAAAGCTCAGATACATCTGAGATGCAGTGCAGTCGTTTTGGCAGAGATCTCAAAGGTTCTGCTACCAGACATGCTCGTAAAGCACATGGAGCACATGGCTGTAATATGCACTCAGTGGCATTTCTGTGAGTAAACACTAGCCAGCTGCTCTGCTTTCCTGTCCGGAATCCTCACTGTCAGCAGGAACTGAACTGCAAAATTATTTACTGCTCCTTCAGGAGGGTCATCTAGCTTGCTTCATTTTTGCTGGCAAATGCTGTTTGTTTTTTCTGAGTGATTCCTATGGAATATGATATATAAGTATGCAGAATGTTACAGGGACACTTTTCTGCTACAAAAATGACCTATGGGTGTCACTGTTTTTCCTCCTCTTCAGGTTAAACCTCTGGTGAAAAATATATTTACTCTGGTGAAGTCATTACTTTTGCTGTGTTTTGTTTCTATCCACTGTCCAGCTTCATACTTTGTTTCAGCCTAACTTATTTTACCTCGTGCTTATTTAGACTACCATGATGGTGGGAGTTAGATGTTTATTTCTTGGCTTCCTTTCTTGCTTGGTTTCCTTCTTGCTTGCTTGCTTTGTTCATCGTATCTGATTTGCTGTATTTTTAAAATCAGGTCCTCATGTTTTCTCCCAGCTTGAAGCCAACAGTTCCCACTGCCAGGTCAGTCAGTTCCCTGCTCCCCTGGTGGCATGTGCAGCAGCCATGGAACTCAGTCAGTGCTGCCATCTGGCTCAAGGGGGCAAACCTTCAGCTCCTTAGACTTTCATTTTGTTTGGCTGTATGTCTTTGTGTCTTTGTCTTGAGCACTGCAATCAACACAGCTGCTGTTCTGAGAGCTGGGGTCTGTGTTTTGGCAAGCTGATCTTGCTCCTGCAATCAACAGTCCATTTCTAAAGAAAAGTTAAATTTCCAAAACGTGCATTTATGGACCACAGTTAAACTGCCCTCCTGGCCAAATATTTCACCCTGAAAACCTCAGAAAGCTGTGGAGCAGTCATAACCCACCACAGTTTTTTCCTCCTCAGCCAGCTCTACTCATTTTGGGGATTTTTACTGGTTTCTTACTTGCTTTGTCTCTGCTTCGTTCCAGAGTTCTCCTAAAGTTCAGAGTTAATGTATCAATGCAAAGTCACACAAAATAATTTCAGTTTTTTGTTGGCTTTTTCCAGCTCTTCATGTTCCAGCTTTTGCGTGGCCTGGCTTACATCCACCAACAACACATTCTTCACCGAGATCTGAAACCCCAGAACTTGCTCATCAGTTGCCTGGGTGAGCTCAAATTAGCCGACTTTGGTGAGTCACAGTTTGGATACAGCTGTGTATCTGCTCAGACCAAAGCTGCAGCATGCATATAGATCTGCATCCACAACCAATTAAGGCAGAGAAGCATAACCTTTTCTTGAACTTCAGGAAATTATTTTTGTGGTCAGTCCAGCTTTTCTTGTATTTATCCTGATAGGTGCAGGGATTAACTTCATTTAAGTCAGAGCGATTACTATCATGTAAAACTAGTTCAAGAGAACAAAGAATCAACCCCTCTCCATTCAGAAAATAATGTAATGTGTAGAGTCCACAGCAATGTGTGACCCAAAAAGCTGTCTTGGCATTAGTTTGGGATAGCTGCTTCATTCCCAAATGATAAAGCCCTGCAAAACACAGACTATTACTTCACTTGATCTGCCCCAGAGGTATATTCCAGAAATACTTTCTTTGTCAATTGCTTGTAAGCTGCATTGAGTTTACTTGTGTTTAAAGAGAAAATAATGTCCTGTTTCCAATTATTATCATCTATTTACTGTACAGATAGAAGGACTGTCCTAACACAGCATTTTTTTGTTGGTTTGTTGGGGGTTTTTTTGCAGGCCTTGCTCGTGCCCAGTCCATCCCCAGACAGACATACTCCTCTGAAGTTGTGACACTCTGGTACCGTCCTCCTGATGTGTTGCTTGGAGCTACAGCTTATTCTTCTGATATAGATATCTGGTACTGACCAATATCAAAGCATCTGTGGTTCCCGGGGAAAAATCATTTTTTATCTGAATTAAATTAAATCAGCCACAGTTATAGTAGATACAGTTGTAAGTAGAGGGATTAACACCTGTGAGCAGAAAATGTGTGAGCAGTGTGGAATTTTGTAGAAGTTTCATAGAGGATTCATAGAAGATTTTGGGAATGATGTCACTACATCACAGCTATAGATTGATACAAACCTCATCTGATAATATTTATGAGAGATATGAATCTTGTTTGGTAACATGTATGGAGCATTTTCGTGTCTTGCAACAGAAACCTTTTGCTCAATGCACATATATCCGTGTAGTCAGCTGAGTCAGTAGTAACTCTCTGCAGAAATGGCTTTGTGTAAAAACAATGTATCCACAACAGCACCATTAATTAATTTGGCCTTGGTAACAGAATGTGGCATTAAAGGGTTTCTCAATGAGTCTGGAGATTGAAAGGTGTCTGAGATTTTAGTTATTTCTGAGATATTTTGTCCTTCTTCTCCAAGACCATGTCTCAGATGCAGTCTGTATTTCACTCAGGAGAAGGGCTGTGTCTGTTAAAGCCTTGTTTCCATATGAGTTCTACCCCAAAATCTTGATGGTGTTTGGGAATCAAAAGGAAACAAGCTGCACATTCACAGAAGGGAGAGGAGTCTCTGAGAGTGGGCAGAAAACAGGAGAGGATGAAGGCTTCACAAGGTCCCAGTGGCCCTTTTGGCTTAGATGTGTATCTGGGCTAACTGTGAGATTCATCAACCTTCTGGCTCACTTCTGCACCAGCCTGAGCCCACTTCCAGCAACACAGCCCTGACATGTTCAGGGACAGCATGCAGCTCATGAAGTTGCAGGAGACCTTCCTTATTCTAGGCAATTTTACATCTGCAGATGCTATTGCTGCTTCACCCTTTCTTCAGACCAGCTAATCTTCTGCTTGTACCTGTCCCACAGGACTTATTTTAATTACTGCATAGTCAAAGGCTGGGAAAGGGTAGGAGTGCAGCAGGCTGAAGAATGTGCAAGAGGGCTGGCTAAGTTTACAAACAGCAAAACTCCAGGTCTTCACAGGCTGTATCTCCCTCCAGAGGCCTGCAGCTTATCAGACACTCCAGTGACCTAAGCCTGGAGGGTAGATCAGGGAAACGGAAGTTTTTAGATTGTTTACTTCCCTAGGACTGCTGCTAATTTAATTATTTAAAGACTTCTCAAAGGAGGAAAACCTTGCTAAATTCTAATGGCTTCCAGCTGCTAAGCCAGTCTAAATACTCCTGTCTACTACCCCCACTACCTGTCATTTTTCCCTCCAGACAGTCTCTCAGAAATGTCCACTGAGGTTGAAGAAGATGCCAGCATAGCAGATTAGAGGGTTTGTATCAGACATAAGCCTGTTGTTTTTTTCCTGAAAGCTGACCCTGTCCAAAGCCAGCTATGCACAGAAAGCGTGTCATTTCTGCCTATGCAAAACCAACATCCCCACTGCATAACTTTGCTCTGGTGTAATGAATAGCAACATAGGAGTGGTGTAGAAAGATCCCAGCTCTTACAGCAGAGTGCTCTCCATCCCACTGAACTACATCCACACTACAGGCACCTTTGTTATAATGCCTCCTTATAATAACAACATTCAAAGTGTTTGCCCTAAAGAAAGATGTCACGCTGAGAGAATAGAGAGTACTTCAGTGAGCTCTATTCAGTAACTTCCTCTAACAAGAGTCATTTATTATCTTGATGTACACTGCATTTAAGTTCAATTTTTGTCTATTAGGAAATAATGTGAATTCACACAGATGTTACTTGTCTATTGGGAAGAAAAGAAAAAAAACCCTATGTCTTTTGGATGCTGCAATTTACATGAAGGCAGGTCAGAATGCCCTTGGTAATGGCATGAGACAGTGGGTGTCAAAGCCTTGGTTTAAAGAAACCAATTATAACAAAATAAAACATTATGGCAATTCATGCATAGTGTGCTTGAGCAGCAATACTGTCAGTGGGAGGCACAAGGGAAGTGAATGAGGCCTTGAATAGATGAAGAAAGAGATATAGAAGGAGACTTGGTCGCTCTTGGACTAACTAGAAAAGCTGCTTTAATCTCTCTGTACCTCTTTTCTCTCTCTTTCTCCCTCACTATCTCTTCAGGACTTTAGAAGATTCAATTAAGGGATTTCAGGAAGATTACACTGCATATCAGAAGGAGTCTTTTTTTTCTTTTTTTGAAAAACACCAAGTGCTTTATGCACAGCCACATTAGTGGCTGCAAACATCATGAGTGCCTTAAGATGTCTTCTTTTCAGTCAGGCTTTCCTTGTATAATGTTCCATTAAAAAAAAAAAGAGAAAAAAATCACAGTGATATTCTCCGGTAGATTCATGTAGAATAGGAGTTCACATGCAGTCATTTAACATGGACCTGCCAGGCTCACTACAGCCTTCTCCTCAGCCTAGTTCACAGTGCCCCATTGTGCCAAACTGGGAGATATTGGCTAAGGGCTCCACTTTACAGATCAGGCTTGGTGAGGAATAAGAGGAAGAATATATTTCTGGTCAAATATAAAATTACCATCTCCTACTGACAACAAAAACCCCCAAACACGGAAAGGAAACTCTGGGATGCCATAGAGATATCCTAGATCTTAATCCACATGAGAACCTGTCTACTGTGTGACGCAGCACTGCAGACTGAGGACGAAGTGCAGTGTTCAGACCTTTCCCAAGGATTGCAGATGGATACAACTATACTGTCTGAATCAGATCTGCTTACGCTCCCTGAATATCCCTGTAACTTCTTCTACTACTTTAGCTGTTGCTGTTTTGATTCGTGTGCATATCTGGCACTTGCTAAAATATCATGTCTAGGCTCTTCCCAAAGGACCCCTCCTTTTGCCCTATCTCTTCCCAAGGCAGTTTTATAGGGCTGAGACCCTTTAAGGAACTTACAGACTGGAAGAGGTAAGAAGATTTGAGAAGTTAATATTAGAGGGGAAAGAAGGAAAAGGGAGAAAGCAAAACAACCCCAGGTCTAAATATTTTAAAACATTTAAAAGTAAATGCTTTTGAATCATCCTCATTATCAGAAAAATCCTCATAAATGTTGTCAGAGCAGCAACTATAACTCTCAGAAGGAAAGCTGAGGCCTCTACTGCAAGGCTATATGACTTCCATTAGTTTCCACAGTTCCTGCTCTTGCCAGTCCAATAGCCCTTTCTAGCGAGGATATCAGAATGCAAACTGTGGTAGAACATCAGCATCACTTGTTCCAAAAACACAGAGAGCTGTTTCTCTTCCCCCTACAAATCAAGAGTACCTAAATTGGTTTGACCATGCACATTTGAACTTGTGCAATGCAAGCAGCCAATTACAGCAGCCCCTATGGTTGCAAAAGAGGGCGAGCCATTTGGGCACGTACATCAGCTGTGAAAACAGTGTTGGTATGACCCTGGTCTCAGTAGAATCTATCTGTGGGCTCTGAAGTAATGTCTAATCATGTGGTAGTGCTATGAAACACCAGAAAAACTCTGTGTTGCAAAAGCTGTGGATTAAGTTTCGTGATTCCTGGACTTTGTAAGAGGAGATTAGACAAGGAAAGAAGCTCATCTTACAAGATTTGCCAAGGTTAGGGTACAGGAAGCTACGAGAAAGTGCGGCAGAGATGTTTATGAAAACAGCATTAGATATGGATCTGCAAACAGGCTTGTCACCACCTGGTGTGCAAGGATGACCAGAATAAATACCACACATGAGCTGCATGCCAGAGTTTCAACTGACCACAGCCAGGTGGGAAAAGCAACTACAGTACTGCAAAAACAAGGTGCAAGGGGTAACACAGGAGTACAGATGACCAGAAAAGATTACCAGTTATTGCTAAGCAAGTGAAAATAATACTTTCAGAGACTGTAAGACAAAGCTGGGTTTTCAAGAGTTCAGCTTAAAGGACTCAAATATGATCTAACCAAAGAAGAATGAGACCGAGACCCAAAAAGTTGCAATGGGACTTAGAGAAAAGACAGAAAACCTAGAAAAAAAAAAAGTAAATGAGTGGAGTTTTACACCATGCAGTAAGAGATGGGAATAATTGCAAATAGGCAAGTCTACCTTGATCACAACTATTTCATCATTACTGCCATGAGGACTAATCCACCTTAATAACATGAAATAATTTGGAAGGTGTTGTTTTTGTTTTTTTTTTAAGCTGGCTGGTTTGTTTAGATGCAAGTGCAGAGCAGGGGATGACATAAAAATACGAATATTTTAACTTGCTGTTATGACAGGTTTTTTGTGCTATGAAATCTTGCCTTCAGCTTTCCAAGGAAAACCTAATTGCTTCTGAAGGAAAATGGCTATAGTAGTTAGTGCCTCTGGGCTCTTTCTGCATCTAATATATCCTTCAAGCCAATGAAGTATGTAATACCTCCCTGTTTATCTTTCCTACTGTAAGTACTCCAATTTTGTACCCTTTTCTCATGAGAAGTAACCTTGTACTCCACAGGCTTCTGCCATGACACTTTGTTCACATAGTTTGTAGCAGGATTAAGGGACAGAGACGTGAAACCATTTTTTTGGTACTGGAAAAAAGATAGTGCTTAGTGGGTTTCTTTTCCAAGGATATGACCTGTCTTGTCTTGCTGGTGAAAAGTGAATTGTTTTTTTTTAGTAGGTGATGTTGATGAGAAAAAGGAGATAGGAACAGACTTGTATGGAATCTTGACCTCTTCGGGTTTTTTTCAGAAATTCTGGAGGCATGTGAATGTAATTTACCTTTGGTCTGCTCTCATCCTATTTGACTTGTGAGCTTATATCAAGATTTCTGCATTTACAAATCAGAATTTCTAAATGTCCATTCCAACAATTATCTATGCCTCTCTCCCTGCCCATCCTAAGAATCATATTATATATATATATATATGTCATTTATGTGAATGAGTTAATACCTTGGGTTTCTTGCAGGAGTGCAGGCTGTATATTTGTGGAAATGTTCCAAGGTCAGCCAATATTTGCAGCAACTTCTGGTACTCGTGAACAGCTGGAGAAGATCTGGGAGGTGAGTAAAATACACCCTGAAATGGCAAAGAAAAAGAATCCATTGCTCCAGCCTACTTAATTTTGAAGTTCTAAGCATAGGTCCTGTGAATAGCAGAAATAATTTGGTCTAATCTCCCAAATTCATAGCAGACTTTGTAACCCATTTTATATTTGGCAACTTTCTTACAGACACAGGAGTAAATCAAATGACTTCCCTTTGATGTTTGTCATCTCATCAAAAATTTAAAGCCAATTAAAGTGACATCAAATTGAAGGAGGCATAAAAGGTGTGCAGGTACTGCAAATTCTGTTGCTTCTTTTAAAATCCTTTACTTACTGTAGGATACAGCACACAACATTCTCACAAAGGAGCTCTAATACTGCTCTGCAACTACCTTGAAAATGGCAAGACCCTGAGGTTTGTCAGAGATCCTTCTTCATTTTAACTTGGCACATCTTGTATCATCCAGTTTTTATGGTGCAGCTCTAGAGACTGATTTTGGATAATGAAAAGTGTGAAATTACTTTATAAAGGTAGCAGTGAGTGAGAGCAACATATTTAGGAGCTTCCTAAGTTGTTTTTTCTGCTGAGGAGACAGCAACACAGAGCCACATTCCTAGAGTTTGGTAGAACTGAGGCAGCCAGCAGCACTGACAGGTTCTGTGCATTCCTGACAGCTCGTGCTGACCCTGTTACTGATTCAGCAGCAAGGTCAACCCATGCTTTCATATTAGGTCTTGCTGTAGGTATCACTTGGTCTGTTCAGTCTGGAGAAGAAGAGATTGAGGGGAGATCTCACTGCAGTCACAACCTCCATGTGAGGGGAAGAGGAGGGGCAGGCACTGATCTCTGCAGTGACCAGTGACAGGACCAGAGAGAACGGCCTGAGTTGTGTCAGGGGAGGTTTAGGTTGGGTATTAGGGAAAGGTTCTTCACCCAGAGGGTGGTTGGGCACTGGAACAGGCTCCCCAGGGAAGTGGTCACAGCACCAAGACTGCCAGAGTTCAGGAAGCATTTGGCAATGCTCTCAGGTGCACGATGGAATTCTTGAGGTGTCCTGTGCAGTGCCAGGACTTGGGGTCAATGATCCTGTTGGGTCTCTTCCAACTCAATAGATTTTGTAATTCTGTGATTCTGTGTCTGCCCTTTCACATCTCCTCCCAAGAATTTACTCTTATGCATAGAGTGTTTCTGAAACATGAGTTTTCAAAGGAGAAAGTACAGAAAAAATGAAATTCATTAAAATAATGAGAAATTACTTTATAGTCATTAAACTGCGTAAGTCAGATTTTTCCAGCTTGACCACTTCATGCAGAAACTTGGTAGGGTTTGGTAGGGTTTTCCTCTCTTCTTGTAAGTAGGAATGTGATAAAAAGTCAGACAAGTGCATCCAGTTCTTAGACTTGAGTTCAGTCCATTTAAATAAATGCTGAATTTCTCTTTCATAGAGAGTAGGGGGAAAAAAAAGAATTATTGGGAAAAAAAATTCCATACTTGGCCAATTAACAAGGTTCAAAGCCAGGGCAGGGTCCAGTTTCTCAGAGTGTGAATGAAGGTTATCCTTACACTTATATCTCTGAAATCTCTGGATACATTTCCTGCAGTTTTGCATTAGAAGGTTATAGCACTATCGTAATTTCTCTGGTATTATAACTAATACCATGATTAATGGGATTTGTGCTATAGAAGGCAAAAAACCCCTTATTTAAAAATCATGAGGAAGTTTAAAGAGCTGTGAAATAATTAGTGCTTTTCACAGGAGGTTTTATGATATTATACAGCCTGGAATGAGGCTCTGTGTTAGACCAAGATTTCAAAGCTCCTTAGAGGCTTTCGATGTCTAACTTGAGATATTTTGCCAAGTGTGAGGTTCAGAATGGGGATTCCTACTGTTTCCTAATAGTCAGTCCCTTTCATGTACGAGTAACAGAGGCACCCTGCACTGGTAGAGAGACTATCTGCATTTGTGTGCATGAGTCTGTATCACCCAGCATGCTCATCTCCTTGTGGGACTGTTGGTTCACACACCATATAGATACATGGTTGGAAAATCCCCATTCTGTGAAATGTGTTTGTCCTGCTGAACCATTAGGACTGACTAGTTGTCATTTTACCAAAAATTCTTCTAGAGGCAAGTGCCACCTAAAGCAGTCTCCATCTCTGATCTCTATCCCTGGCTGCTCATTGCTGCTCCTGTTTCACCTCTCACATGAGGGGCTACATGAACTGGGAACCCTGCAACTTTGTTTTCTCCCTGTATTACTCTAAATGAGAACAGCTTCTTTGCCCTTCTCATTCTCTGGTTGCAAAAACAGCCCTAACAAGCACAGGTACTCATGAAGGCATGGCACAGGAGCAGGGCCAAACGGGAAGGGAAGGCTGGCAGTGTTGGTTAGAGAAGTGTGGCATGAGTGCTTTGGGCAGACCTGCCCTAGCCCCAATACACACACCAGTCAAGAAGCATCCTCACCCAGGGCTGTCAAATTGCCCTTGGTGCAAGCCAACTTCCAACATCCTCAGCTGGCTGAACCCTGCAAGATACCTTCTCTATGGGGAGCTTTCAAGCTTCCAAGGCTGATTTTACAGATAAGCAGAGACAAGGATCCTCCCCCTTAGTCTTTGCTGTGGCAGGCTGAGCCCATAAGCAGTTTGGAACCATGGGCCATAGCCACTTCACTTCAGGGGCCACCGTGCTCATGTGTGCCAGTGGTGAGATGCACGCCCTGCTTGTGGCTGTCTTCCCCAGGTAGTTGCAATTGTCACAGCTGTTTCCCAGCTGTGAGTGAGAGAAACAATCAATTACCTGATGCTTTACAACTGCCACAAGCTGGCTTTATATTTCTTCCTTCTTTAATGTACTTTTTAACTGACGCCTGTTTTCTTGCCATCTCAATACAAATTTTTGGAAGGCCAAGTTACCCATGTCATATATCTCAGCTTATATTTTAAGGAACAGGAATTGTCTGTCATATGCAAAGGATAACTAATGCAAGACAAATCTAGTGCTGGAGAAGAGAAAGTGAATAAAAACCCTGAAACTCTTCATGTTAAAATTTCACTGCTGTTTTACGGAAACCTGGTAATTCTGGGGGTTGACTGGATGAAAGCTTTGAATGCTTGGAGCTAGCAGTGTGATTTATACTACAGTTTCACATGCTGTGAACTCTTCTTAAAGATGTGTCTTTACCTCTTTAGCACAAATCATCCATATCAATAGGCACAGGGCATTTTGCATGTGTTAAGTAATAACAATAACAACACTAAACATCCGCAACTGCAGAAATCTAGATATGCTCAATCTCACACATTTCAGCAAGTAAAATGAAGTTGGAGGAGGCTTTACTGGCCCAGACTTTGTTCAGTGAGCAGCTACTGCTGAAGCCCACAATTCCCAATAAAGACCAAAGACACTGCTGAAGCTCTATATCCTTCAGAGTGAGGCTCTGCACTGCTTTTCAGCTCCAGCTACTAGACCTGTCTGCCAGCTTTACTTTTTTGCCTCAGAATCAAGGGTTTCTCTCAGAGCTCACAGCCTGTGCTGCTGCTGAACATATCAGCTGCTGCCAGTGCAAGCGGGCACAGTAAGCCCCCAGTGCAGCTCTGGTGTGGGAGGACACCTTCAGCACTGAAAAGGGCTCAACTCTGTGATCCCTGGGCTAGCAGACACAGGCAGCAGTGGCACCTGGCAGTGATGCTGCATATGCCTTCACTGATATTCCCAGCAGCAATAGCATTCAATCTCAGCAGGAGCCTTTCTGCTACATAATCAAGTGTTAAAATGTCAGTGTCCTTTATGCACAGTAGTAGATTCCAGCAGCAGCCAGGGCAGTGTAATTCTGCATTAGTTTACAGGGAAGGCCAGTCACTCTCCACTGAGACTGATTCCTCCAACTCCACACCAAGGCAAAGAATGGGCAGAAAGAGGTCACTGTTTTCACTCTCTCTCTTCCTTTGCAGGTATTGGGAGTCCCAACTGAAGACACCTGGCCAGGGTTTTCCAAGCTCCGCAAATATAAGCCAGGTAGGACTTAACTCATGAGAAGGCCAGCTTTTTCTCTGAGCCACTAGCCACTCCATTGTTGGGTCAGTAATTCTTTCTATGAAAATCCTGTGCTTTGGTGTAACTAAATCCCTTTAACTACTTAATGACAGTAGTGTTGTAGGACCTACATTGGCTTAGTTTGCAAACAGAGGTACATGTGTGGCAAAGTTGCCTCACTGAGTGCTGGTGTATGTAAGTCTAAGGGAAGATTTCATTGCTCAAAGTCTCACAGTGTATTTAGTCTCCACTCCTCAGTGGAATGGAGCAAAGGACCAATGTCTCCTGGTTTAGACTGGAAAAGCCGACAGGCACCTGGAGACGCAGTTTATCTGAACTTTCCTTATTTTTATGGAGATTGGTTTGGGGACCTTTAAACCTCAGCTTTAAAGGTCACTGTCCCTGATTTTGATGTGGGCAAGGTGAGAAATCTGTGTGATTTACAAAGCTGGATTCTTTTATTTCCACATGGGCTGGTAGAGAAGTCTGTGTCCTGAACTTCAAAGGGCCAGTTGTCTCTTATTTTGATGTGGGCAGGTTGAGAAGTATGCTTTGAAAAGCTAGCTCAGTCACTCTCCCTCTCTCTCTCTCTCTCTCCCTTTCTCTCTTTCTCTTTTTGTTTAATGTTTTCTCCTGGGAAAATATATTCAAGTGTCAGTGAGGGGGAAATGATGAGCACTGATTCTCAGCCTCTCAGCAGGATAATTCTGTAAGAGAAATATAAAAGTGAAATATTAAAAACCCCAGAATGCGAAATTCACCCATCCACAATCTAGCCATTCTCTCTCACTTATACCATAGGAGAGTGGTGGGGGGAGCCTGTCTATCTGGACGGGGTAAAAAAAGAACAGGGGGAAAAGGAGGAGGGAGAAGACGTGCTTTGAGCAAGAGGTTTACAGGTTTAGTAGAGCATAGTAACATCTTTTCAAAGAAGTGGGTGTTGCTCTGTGACCCAGTCCAAGATGCCCCTCCTTTGATTCCGGTGCATGAACACTAAACAGCCCCCATTTTCACATGGTAGCCGATATTGGCTGAACAATAACCTGGTCTCACACTCGAAAGGACTGGAATCTTTCACACAATTAGCTGAGACACATTAATCAAACCAGCGTGAAATGGGAATGTGTCGCTGTCCACAGCAAGTTTAATTTGGATAGCAAGCAAGCACAGAGCAGACAGCTGGAGGAAGCATTTTCTTCTCTAAGTTGTAGAAGGCCTGGCTGGGTAGTCTACAAGTTGAGAAGAGTAGTCTGGGAGATACAAAAATGCTCATGTGTGGGAAGAACTAATCACAAAGAATTTTTTTTATGCTGGTCATCTGCTAATACAAAGCCTCAAACATACAAACATACAAACTCTGAGTGATGATGGTTAGGTGTCCTGGTGCTATGTAGAGGAACAACCTAAAGGTGCAAGCATTAAGGCTATGTTAGCAAAGAAACTTGTATGGACAACAGAGAATGTGAGTGCCTAGAACTGCCCTGAGTAGTGATTCCCTCAGCTCTGTTTTGTCTGAGTAGCAGTGCTGTCCTCTGCTGCTTTGGAGAGTGCCAGTGGCAGGGCTGGGAAGGAGAGGAAGGCACCTGGACAGCAGAGCAGTAACCCCAGTGAAGTCGAGCCATCATAAGCAGTTTTCAAGTCTGACTTGCTTTCAGACTTGATAGAAAGTTTTCCTAATGTATACTCCAGAGGGGCAGAATTGACCTGTGCTGTGCTGTGGTACTGGGATGCTGGTCCCCTTTGTGGCTAGACCAGGCAGAAATGCAGGACTCAGAGGACAGTGTTCTGTTGGAGCATCCCAGGGAGCTGGCAGACACACGGAAGAGGGGTGTTATGTCAGTGTTTGGGACAATAGCTGTGTTAGCTGGAGAGGCAACATCCCTTTCCGCTCTTGAGAGCCTAAGGGGCTGCCAGCTGTTCCAGCCACATACAGGAACCAAGCACTTGGCTCACACCTGGATTACACAAACCAGTCTGAACAGAAAGCTACTCTAAAGTTGGACTATTTGCCCTTCTCATGAACTAAATCAATTCATTTTTTGATGGGACTGCTGGTAAGAAGACAAATTAGTATCTTTGTTTAAAGCTAAATGCCATTTATATGCTTCTGGGCACATCGCACATCCCTTCTCTTCCCTGAAGCACAAAGCTGTTTCCCCCCCCAGGACATGCTCAGCCCAAGTACAATCTATGGAGTTTGTCTGAGAAAACCTTCTCTCCTGAGGTTATTCCCAGACCATTTGTGCGAATCTGGGTGTCTGGGTTGGTTCAGATAAGCAAACAAACTTTGGAGCTCTTCCCCAAATCTGATGGTTTGAATTCTTTTAGCTAGTCTTATTGATGTTCACACTGAGCACAGGCAGCAAACAAACAAACAGGTTCCTGCCCGCGGCAAGGAACGAACACGGGCAAAACAAAGCACTGAGGTGTGATCCTATTCTCATTGAAGTTGATGGCAAAACTCCCACTGGATTCAGCAGCGCAGGCTCAGCCCCAGACTGAGATTGTTACTGGAAGGGTTCCTGGGCCAGGTGGGTTAGTAGGAATCTTTGAAATGAAAGCTGGAAACCTTTAGATGTTTTCCTGTCGCTGCCGTGGGCTTGAGCACATCCTGCTGCAGTCTGGAAAGGATACAGCATGGGCTGTGGGGTCTGTGAGTCAGGCATACACAGGGCAGCTGGAGGAAAAGCAGCTCCTCTGCCTCCTCTATGGGCTACTGGCAAGGGATGAATTGTGCAAAGGAATTTTTGGCTACCGTGTGCCCTGATGTCTTGCACAAAGAAGTTCAAGAACAGCCTCATGCCCGTTCCCTACAGTTTGGCAAAGTCTCAACTTGAATCCAGGTGAATGGGAAGGATGGGTGAGTAACCCATTCGTGGCCAGCCCTACAGCTTGTGACCTCCCCTTCTCTCTGCAGGCGAGACACTTGGGGTAGGGAATTATGTGCAGTCATAGGGCCTGCAAGCAGGTTGGAGAGCCATTCCCTGGAGAACGTGAGGACTGGGAGAGCTGCTGCCCCACATCTCAGCACACTTGCTGGCCGTCTCCCTGGCTCTCTGGGCTTACCAGCCCTACCCATAGTGACAAGGCTTTGCCCTGTGTTTGTTCATTTGTTCTGTTCCCTCATTTTGCTTCCCCTGAAAGAGGCAGTTGTAGCTCTGTTAACACTATTTTTGAAAGCTCTCATGCTGTGTGAGCTCAAATCCTTGCATTAATCTACTGCTGTGTTCATTTCACTGCGCTGAAAAGCAGTGAGTTTAAATCCCCTCTAAACACCATTGGTGACACCAGAAGGCCAGTGTTTTGATCCAGCCCCATTAATGGTTACAAGTTTGAATCTAGACAGCAGGGGTCAAGGGCAGGAAAGGATTAGGAATCACAGCCCATGACATTAAGCTAGTGCCTTTGCCAAACTGGGGATACTGGAGCGCCCAATGTACCAAGTCAGTTTTTGTTTCCTTTTTCTGACATTTGGATTCCAAAGAGTGGGGAGCAGTGCATATCTATCTATAACATGATGAACTGAGTGTGAGCTTTACTCCTTGATTATTGCACAGGCTGAATGATGAATTTGCCTATGCCAAGTAGTATCACCTCACTGAGCAGATGCAGGTTTCACACAAGGCCTTTTCAGATGCAGCAATGACTTTCAAATAAAGCCTAGTTTTCACATATCTCTAGGCTTTGGTATGCTGAATGATATTTAGAAGCTTTCCAGAGTCAACTTGTGCTCCCAGGTACGGATTTTCAGTGTCTGTTGCGTTTCCAAATTATTACCAGCAGATGGAGGCAACAAGCAGCAGGCCCTGAAATGCAAACTTCCCATGACATTTGTGAAAATGCAGATGAAGTCTGCATTCCGAGTGCTTTTTTTTTCCTTTTTTTTCCTCTTTTTTTGTAATCTCAGTTTTTATGCTGATGTTTCATTTAACACATGGGATGGCTGAAAACTGAATTCTAAAACGATAAAATTTTTATTGTCATAATAAACTGCATGTGGCTTTGATCTCAAAGGGAAGAGCAGCACTGTAACTAATGCTAGCCAGGGTGTAGGGAAACTTCCCATCTGTGTGGCAATGGGCACAGCCTGCAGTTTCCAGCCTGCCACACAGACAGAGCTCTGCTCCTGTCCTGAAGCCACAGAGATTTCACTAATGAGAGAAATTTTCTCTGTGAGCCTGCAACCCCACTGCCTTCATCCTGCAGCACTTGGCATCCTCTTTCTCTCTCTTCATCAATTAGGAAAGTTTAACTTTTGTCCTCTGGCTTGCTTGCCTCATTATCAGTTCATTAGCCACTTCCACCTGAGTTTTCAAATAGGAAGGTATTTCCTCATTAGCACACTCTGCCTTGCATAAGGACAGAAAATAACAAACCTAAGTGCTACCTTTCAGATCTACTCATTTTGTTAAAAAAGCCAATCAGCCCTACACAATCCCATCATTTCATGACTAGATCATCATTGAGAGATGATTAAATCAGTAGTTCATCCACTTTTTGGAATGATCTAAATATTCTTTATCTCTTACCTTTATAGAGTAGCTATTTACAGCGTTTTGCAATTTTAGATTGGTCTTAATCTTACAGTAGGGAAAATATTTTCTGCACTGTTTTTACCCTGCTCAACACAATGGGGCCTCGGCATTCTGTAAGGATTTGTCTATATGGGGTCATTCAGGAGATTAATCTGAACTGATTTAAAGTGCATTAGTTAACTGCATTAAATCCTTGAGCAGAGACACAGTGTTTTCTTGCCCATACCTTCAATTTATAATCAAAGCTCTGTATACTCAAAGTGGCAAATTTGGCAGTCCTCACTCAAGCTGAATTCTTCACTGAGAGATGTGTTTGGACAGGGACAGGAGTAGCTGGCTCACTGGCTCTTACATTATTCCTTGCAGATAATTATTAATCTCTAGGTTATATGAAAGATAAATTTAAGACAAGAGCCTTGCTCAAGACAGCAAACACTGTAATTCAGATATTCCTCCTAGTTCCCAGTAGGCAAGCTGATATTTCTATTTCTAATGTAAAGAAAATCCTATTTCCTCTTTGGAATGTTAATTCTGAAAATACACTCCACAAAAACAAAGTGACATTTCACTAAGAAATCATTGAAACATTTTGGCCTCCTGTTACCAGCTGAATATGCATTTTTAAAATTCTGTGTTAAACTAATTAAAGAATATTAATGTTAAAAGATTTCAGTAGAGTTAAAGTACAGTACTGAAGTAATCTTGGCATTTTCTCGAAATATTTAATGAAGTTGATATATTGTCATAGAATGTTTTCATCTCACAAATCAAAATTTTCTGACAGAAAGTTACATCTGAAAGTTTTTGGCCAGCTTTATGAAGAGGCAAAAATTCCTACCTCACACAGAAATTTTTTTTGCCTTTCAAACCATTTTAAGAATTATTTTTCTTCTGTTCTATCTGGAAACTTTACATTTCTACTCAATATGGGTAATCTATTTCTACACTTTTATTACAGTCAAGGGGGCAAAAAGAAGGAAGGATGATCCAGTAAAAATGTTACTAGTGATCCAAGAGGAATGTTCTGCCAGTCTTGGTGACTTATTTGGGAAGGAGGTATTCAAGATGCTAATATATAACTTCTATGCTTTGATTATATTCCTGTGCTCTGGCACATAAACAGCCATGAATCCCATCCCAAGCTATATTCCCATTTACTGCTCTAGAAATCACCTTAGTATTTGGGTGTAGGAGAACAATTCAATTCTGAACTGTTACTTACCCTGCGATAGACAGGTTTAACAACCTGCTTGCCTGGTTTCATGGTGCACGATTGCTGCTGGAAAGGTCAAGGGCTGGAAGTTCAGTCATTTGCACTTTTTCAAGTTGTCTGTGCATCAAGTCAGATGCTGGGTCTGGCACTCTGAAAATGGTGGTGCAGGCAAAGGCAGAGGGGGCTCCCACTTGGACTGCAGCAGGCAGCTCCTGTCCCTGAATGAAGTTCCTGGTGCTTCCAGGGAGGGCAGATGCTCTTGGAGGCTGCAGCATTAAACCCAACCGAGCTCTGAGTCTGCTGGCACCAGACCAGTGGTGCTTGCCTCCTGGTGGTCTCACTGCTGTGGGGAATGCTTGTCCAGGCTGAGCTGGAAGAGAGGTCAACACCACCCTTCCTGCTCTCCTTCCCATAACTAGAGGGCCACTGTTCATTCTCTGCTGTCAGAAACAGTGCTCAGGAAAATGAAGGTGGGTAGAAATTGCAGCCTTTCTGATGCAAGAAAATCTCTCTGTTAATCAGCTCTACGGGGAAATTTTCCAGGTTTAAGCCATTCATTCATTCATTCATATCTAAGCCTGAGAAAATTAATGCTTTACAATAAAACATTTGAGGAATGTATTCCTCTATATTTACCACAATGTTTAGAAATATGTCCTTGAAAAATATCAGCATGAACACAGACTTCACAAAACTGCAAACTCTGCTAAGTTCCAGTCTGATAGAGATAACAATAGTCAGTGAGCACAAAGCCTCCATGAGCATGGTTAACTGGACAAACAACAAACTTAGCGAGAGCTGTGGGCAAGAAGAGAGTGGGATCAAAGTGCCTTGTCTCTGTCCCCAGTCTTACTGCTGCATCCATGTAGAAAAGCCCCATGTACCCATCGGGGCAGTATGTGAAGCTCAGCAGCCCCTTGGAAAACCAAGACAATTGCTGGGGATTCAGACCTGCAAATTTCTTTTTGCTTCCTTTGTGTGAAGGCTTTAGGGACCGATACTGCTTTTATTGATGTCAAAGCTAAGACTTGCACTGTAACAGGAGGAAGTCCAAGGCCTACACTCACAGATATATGAAAAGAAAGGGTTACAGAACTGGAACAGCCTTATTAAGATCAATGCAGGTACTCAAATCCTATAGGAATAATGTATATCTATAAATAATAAGATGATAGATTCTATAAGGCCCTTTGAAATTCTGAGCACATTTTTTTGTAGGGGCTAAAAGAATGGGTTTTGGCTTGACTTTCATTTAATCTTGTGATTCCATATTACATTTTCTAGAACTGGTTGCTTCCAGGAGACCTCAGAGACTCCAAGTCATCTGTGACAGGTAAGCTACCTGTAACAGCAATGTCAAAATTGCCTCTGGGTTTATTTGTTTCTTTATGCAATCATTTAACTTGAAATGAGCTCTTTTGGCAAGCTCAGGAAAAGCAGGGTGGCTCTGTAGTAACAAGCAGATCTAACATCAGTTAAGCAACTGATTTTGAGAGATCTCAGCAAAGGTAGACACATAGTGGGTTTATTATTCTCAGAGGAGTAGTGATTATTCTGAGATAAGCAGTGATTCAATGACTTTGTGTGCAGCTTTTTGTGGGGCACAGTTCGATTGAGAAGGTCGTACTTTCCCAGGCCCTCTTGCCCAGACTGTGGACAGACTTTGCACTGTCCCAGTTTTCATTTTTGAAAACAGACTGTAGGAATGTTGCTCAACAGCAGTAAGGAAGACATGCTAGGACAGCATTTTCATGAGACAATGAAATAATCTTGTGATTAGTTAGGAGGAGAAAAATCACATTCTTAGTGGCCAAAGCTATGAGATGAAGGCCATGGTTACACACACAGCTTGACCAGACACACCAGCACTGCTGAATCACTCCCTAGTGTGCTAAGGGAAGGGAGCATTTTTTCGGGCACACACACGCTCACACACACACACACACACACACACACACACACACACACACAGAATGTATATATGTATCAGCAGACAAAGTGCCCTAACCTAGCTGGGAGAGTCAATCAAATCAAATCCCCCTAAACTGATTTTGAGGCATACAGCAGGTTTTATAGATATGTTGGAAAAGACAAGACAAGATTTGTCCTCAAGATTGTGTACATGAAGATGTCAATAATCAAATATCCTTTGAGGACATAACTACATTTTTCATTGCTATTTATTATCTGTTCAGCTGACTGCTTGGGATCCAGCCCTGCTAGGAGGGAAGTGTGCTGCCCTTCAGAGCAGGATTTCCCAGGCGCTATTCTAAATGGCTGAACAAACATGCTAAAGTTTTCAGCAAAGGCCAGGTTACTGAAATGCCAGCCATTGTCATGCACAGCTTGAGAAACACAGAAAGCTCAGTATGTCCCAAACCCTTTTAAAGGTCCTGGAACAGAACAAATCCTCTCTCAGCCTGAACAAAGAAATAAGTATATTCCTTGCAACTGTGCTATATTGCACTCCTGCTTTTTGGCCATAATCCTTTCACAGACCCCCTTATAGTTCATACCAAGGAGCTGGCCTAGCACCTCTGTGGCATAGCTCTGGGCTGCATGTGGGCCAGCTCTGCCTTAGAGTCCCGGTGCTGCCATGGCCAAAGAACTGCCTTGGAATGCTCAGCTTGGGAGAAGGAAAGAGCTGCTTCATACAGGCTGCTCAGCCATGACTCTCCATGGACAATTAAGAAATCAAAGGGGAGCTCTCCACAGAACTTGGCCACCACCAGGAAGCCTGAGCCATGGTGGGAAGCACTGAACTGTGTAGCTGCCCAAAGTGGGAGCCTGCAGCAGCAGGGAGTGAGGGGGCAGAAGTCTCCAGTAAGACACTGCCATGGCAGGGGCAGCCTGTCATGCAGCTCCAGTAAGAGGCCTCAGACTGGATGCTTTGGCTTCCTGTCCCATCCCTGGTCCTCAGGGAAGCAGGGACTTGAACTGTTGTGCTGGAGGTGAAAATTCAGCAATTATCTACCACAGTGAGGGCAGATAGCTTCTACAAATTTATTTCTCAGGGTCTCTTTCTCTCCTTCTGTCTTAGTGTTTTTTCCTCTTCTTTTACATTTTATCTCCTCGAAACAAAAATGTCAGCATGTTGAATGTTCTGTATAGGGAGGGGGAGTACAGGGGCAGGGGTATCCCCACCCCTGATGTCACTTGGAGGGGAAGCACCATTGGGGGCCAAGAAAGGAAGCACAACAGGCCTTGCTCTGAAGCTGAAATGTGATCAGAACAAACAAACAAAGCAAAAGCTGTAAAACTAAATGACTATTTTTATTTGTTTCCCTGTTGGTTTGTTTTCGCTCTTCCACTTCCTTGTCCCCAGCTGTGTGCTCCTCTAGAGAGCAGCCACTTGGCATTGGTATTTGCTGGGCATGGAGCATATGTGTATTACATTTATTTTAAGCACTCATCCTGAGAAACAGATTCTTCTCTGTGAATCCTCAACACATTTTACAACCAGCTGCACTACGAGTACTGGGGTAGGAGAAAATTTGTCTGTAAACATGAATTTGAGCTGAAATCCTAGATTCATATACCCCAACATAGTCAAACTCAGATGGAAAAGCATGAAAAGCTATATAGCTGGGCTGCATTTATCCAGCTCCTGTGTCCCTCCTCTGTCTTTGCCTCAAGCTGAGAAGGGCTGGGTCATGTTCTGGTTCCAGCTTTCTCACTCGTCCTCATCTCCTGTGCTATTTTTTCCTTCTGTTTTCCTAGGATGAGCAGGGTGCCAGCAGCAGAGAATTTGGCCTCTAGGATGCTCACAGCCTTCCCTCGAGACCGAATCTCTGCACAAGAGGCGCTTCTTCATGGCTTCTTCAGCCCCCTGCCTCCTCAGCTCTATCAGGTTCCTGCTGGTAAGTTAACTCTCAATTTCATCTCACCAAGAAAGAGCTGCTGCACATGCTATACTGTGAGTTTCCTCTCTATTTTGAAAGTCTCTGCCATTCATCCGGAGATCTCTCTTTTCTGCCTGCACTCCCTCCCCACTCCTATATTTACGAAGTTCACATCCTGTGGCAAATTTGACAACTTGTTTTTCTGTTTTCTTCTACTTGACCACTGTTAATACTAGAAGGGGACCTTGATGGGCTGCTACCATGGTCCATCTGCAAAGCAGAGGTGTATATGCTTTGACAGGTCATCTCTCCTCCATTCTGTAACCTCAAGGGTCTGAACATTTCCCTGCTCACACTGTGTTCAGTGTAACTCACCCACTGGTCCCTCCTGATGTCCTGAATTCCCATCTGCTCAGCATGGTGTGCTAGCCCCAACTCCCTTGGACTGCTCCTCCCGCTCCCTTTTGATGTTGAGACAGCTGTTCCTTGTACTCTGCCATACCAGTTCTCCCTCAGTTGTACCTGCTTTATTTTCTTCTTCCCTTGCTTCCTTCTCTTGAGCACACAGCTGCACACACAGTTCTGCCTCTCCTGGCCTCAGCTGATAACAAATACAGGGTCTCTCAAGCTGCAGTTCTGCTCCTCACTAAGAAAAGCTCCCTCTTATTGGGCTGCAGGCCAAAGGGACCTTGCATTCCCTGTTGCCTCCTGGGCAGCCTGTACATTAGTTAGTTTGGTGGTGGTTTTTAAGATAGGGGCAATTAAGAAAAAGCCTTCATGGACTGTGTTGTCAAGCTATTGGAAAACCAAATTTCTGGCTCCTGTGACACATCCCAAGTGCAGGAGCAGCCAGCTAGCATCTCTCCCAATCCCCCAAACTGCTGCCCTTCAGAAGGTGCTCTGTGTGTGTATGTGCTTGAGTGAGAGACATCTGCATTCCTTTTCTGTTCACCCAGCCACAGAGCACAAATCTACTTTGACACTTTTAGAAAAATGAAAAGATGGAATCTCGCAGGAGCCTGCCTGTGCCGGGGGGGGAGGAGGGGAGCACGCACAGCAGGAGGGAAGTTGACTTTTCTTTATACATATAGGGTTTTTTCCATGCAGAGTTTAAATTATGCCTGATAAAAGGAGTTTCGTGGATGTTTCAGTTCTTTCAAACCCTCCTGGCTTCCTCCCAATTAAATGAGGTTTGTCAAAGCCACAGGGCTCTGCTGCTGCCAGAGAGGCGGACAAGCACTTCCCGCAGTGACATCTCCAATCCCCAAGGGAGAAGATGAAAGTGTCAGTGCTGAGAGAGAGAGAGGGAGAGAGAGAGAGAGAGAGAGAGTGGAAAAAAACAGGTACAGAGACAGACAGTGTGAGAGAAAGGGAGAGAGTGAGGAGAAATAGAAGGAATGAGAAAACAGATTGGCATAATGTGTCAATCTCTCTGATATGCTGCCAGCAAGGGGACAGATTCATTTCACCTGGGTTTAGGCACCATCCCGTATTTATTATCTCCCATATTGCAGCAAGAAATACCTTGTGGACAGGAAACTGCATGGCGTTATCATAGCAACCAGTGTGTTGAGAGCAGAATCAAAGTGCACAGTGCTGAAACAAGTACAGTACGATCATGTAAGACCATATTCATGAGTGACTCATTAAGCCTCTAAAATTTAGGCTATTCTGAATAATTCCCAATGTGACCATTGCTATTGCCATAATTGTTTAAGACATTTGCTCTCCTGTGTCACTTTGGCATAACACTATTTTGGAATTTAACTGTATAATTTTAAAATTCTTGTTGCTATGATAACAGTGCAGATTTTAAATATATTCTGTTCCCACTTTGTTCTGGAGGATACCGGCTAATAGTTGCCATCCTCTGAGGGGAAAGTTAAAGCAGAAGGGCAAAGAGTGATATGGAGATGAAAGGTGAAAGAAGATGGGGTTAATCCTAAGGTGTGTGAGAGAGTAAGAGGGAAACAACATTTGAAAAAATAGAAGGTTCTCATAAGAAATTATTCTCTGTTTTTATGAAATAATTGTATCTGTAACTACCCTTTTTATAAGTTGTTATGACTTTAGCTGGAAGCTAAAGGATGTTTTCAAAGGTCAGTTCTGGGGAATAAATAATTGAAGAAATCACTGTTTCAAAATTAGTACCCCTCCAAATAGCATGTTTCTGGTCATTAGGGGGAATGTTAATGGTTAGAGGCTGGCTGCTGCCCCTGGGAAGGGGGACAGGGAGCACAGGGCTCTTTGCTTCCTGGAGGCCAGCTCCTAGGGAGTGAACAGGTTGCTGTTGCTATGCTCATCTGAGCGCAAAGCGCTAGAAAAAAAGAGTAGCCGTGCTCTAAGGGAGGGAGAAGACTCTGTCCTCTGAGTGGGGCTGGCCCACAGATGGGCCTCTCCTACAGCTGCTCACTCCTGTGTGTCTCACTCTAGGAGGGGATTACTGAGGCCCAGATCCAAACCTCGCTCATCATCTTGGTGGCCTTAAATCTGCATGTGCCACCTGCACCTCTCAATATAAAAACAGAGAGAAGTGCAGGGATTTCTTCAGCTTCCCGTCAGTGTGGCTAGTAGCCTGAGGGGTGGCAGTGATGACATTTTGTAAAACCAGAGCATTTGCTGTCCTTTTTCTGGCCAGAGCAAATCCTGAGACAATTATCTTTGTGCAGTGCAGCTCTGCACTGCAGCAGCTCTGATAAAACTTTAGTCTAACCCTTTGCCACCTGCTAAAGCAGAATGTTTTCTGTCCAATTAATCCCTCCTGGAAGAAAGATGAGATCCTCGAATCAAGAAAGCATGAGCTGTGCTCTCAACTCAGTGTCAGTCCTGAAGTGCAAAGGGCCTTCTGAGGAGGTATCTCACTCTGTTGTCAGACAGGTCAGACACAGTATCAATTGCAGCTTATTATTCTTAGTTATAGATTTGGTTTATTTTCCCTCTCTTTTGCCCACCGATGCTTTAGAGCAGGCTTGCAAGCAGGGAAGGTAAGCAGTGGAATTTGGGGTTATCAACAGTGCACTCCCAAGAAAACATACTGCAAGAAGAGCTCTGTCCAAAGCACACAGGCACGGGGGCCAGGGAGGCCTGAGCTGGCAGCTCAGATCCTTTCCCAATGTCCAGTCTCAGTAGAGACCTTTCTCTCAGTGTAGGACACGTTCAACCCTGGCCGTACCCTCGGCACAGCAGTTAGTAAATTCCAGTATGTGGCCATGAGGAGGATTGTGTTGCAGGGATGGGATCCTGGCTCTGACTAGGAGGTACTTACTCTTTTTGGATACAATTGTTCTCTTAACTGTTACCTCCCCCAGCAACACAAAACCAGTGCACCAGGTGATGAAGACACTGTACCATTTCTCCTGAAACAGCCCACTGTCCGGCCTGTCAGAGACAAGGAGGAGGAGGCATGCTCGATGTTGACAGTCATTTTAATGTCTGTTGTGTCCAAACTAAGACAAAGCAAGTAAGCAAGCCTGGGCAATGAGGAGGTTAAGGCTGCAAGCCATTGCCTACCAAAAATCTCATTACTGTTGGGATTAGCTAGCACTGGTAAATGTTATCACAGGGGACCTATAAGGAAGAGCAGGCTTTCATGACCCCTTGTTTGGTTTGGTTAGTTTCCCTAGGTTCTCCTACATAGCTAAAAGGTTTATACAGTCACTTGATTTTTTTTTTACCACTCTGCTTTGTGACCTCTTTACAGAGCAAATAGATATCCTTCACTGCAAGTCAGATACAGACACCTAGAAAGTTCCTACCAGTTGTATGAATCTGGTTGATAATGTGTCTTAATATAGGAATAAACCAAAGCTGGTGATGAGCAGCTTTCTGTGAGGCGGTAAAACAAATCTTCACTTAACTCAGGAAAACCACCCCTCACTTCACCTGGTGTGATCTCTGCAGGGGTGGAAGATCTACTTGCCTTCATACTGACAGGACATTAAAGTTTTGTATTCTGTCATTAAGCCACCACCCTAGGAAAGAGCTGTTGCAACATCACAGCAGATGCTTGCCAAGTGCACAGGACTCTGGACATGTTGCCCTATTTAAGCTCTTCCCCGCATGCTGTCCTGGGGCAGGCATTGTGCTGGGCACTGTTTAGGAGCACGGGGCAAAGGGGAAGATGGGAAAAGAAGGAAAATTTCCTTTGCTCACTCCCCAGCTCCTGCTCTTGCAAAAGCAACTGGCGCAAAGTTTGGCCCACATGACTTGTGGAAACAAAGTCCTACAGACATGGATCAAATGCTTTGACTCCCATTGATCTCAGGCCAGAGAATCTCTATAAAGGTCTTATTGTTCAGGGAGACAAACTGCTCTTGGGGGGAGTGCTGTTAATACTGTTCGTGGAGGCAGACACTATTGCATCAGAGGTTAGCAGATGTTTTTCTGTATTTTGTCTAATTGCTAGTTATAGCTGAGGTTTCTTTAGCTTCCATTTTCCCTTTAACATTCTTAAATGCAAATCTTAAAAGATTTAGTTGTCTTGTTTGCTGTGAAAGACATCCAGACTGAAAGTCTCACATAGTCGTTTCCCATCCTCAGGTGCACTTCTGCCTTCACCCAGTTATCAGCAGCAATGACTAAATGGGGAGGTAGTGATCAGGTTTCTAAGGCACAAAAGTTAAAGCTAAGTTTGAGATTGTGACAGCAAGCAACCATGAGCATAGGAACTCAATTAGCCTGAAAGACAACTATCTCATTATCTTTCCTAAAATGATATAAATACATAAGAATATAAAAATTTAAAATAAACTCTCTATTGACTGTCTAGATGACTGAATTTCACTGCTCAATTTCTTTAAACACCCACTTTAGTATTTATTTATTCTAAGCGTGAAGCAGCTACGATAATTAGACTGTCAGATTTGGTAAGTTAATGAGGAGTCACTGGAGTGGAAGGTTTTGCATTTGTGAGATTGCTGAAGGAGAGAAGCTCTGTGCCTTCGCTCTATCTCTTTTTTCTTTTTCTTTTTTTCCCCTCTGCTGGGTGGGAAGGAGAGAGCTTGGCAGTGCACAGATCCATTTGAATCCTTTTGATTAGCGGGTTGCATTCCTACCACTGTTCTACCAAATAGTATTTTGCTGGTTGTTCCAAGAAAAAGAAAAAGAAAAAAGGAAAGAACCTGCAGATGAGATTTCTAGAGAAGAGTGTCTAGATTAAAGAAATAATTTTCCAAAAACAATCAGAAGGAATGCAGCTGTGAGAAATAGGATCCTGAATTAGTTTATATTGTGGTTAATGTCACAGGAGAGCATTAAGAAAGTAGCACAATTAAGGAAAAGGACCCTTTTGCAGTTTTCTCTTTAACCTGATTTTTCCACAGGACAATCAGTGCTCACAGTTCCAGGGGTGAGACTGCAACCTGAAACCTGTGACCTGTTTGTTTCTTACCGAAAAGGCCGTGTCTCAGGAGGTTGGAGCAAGTTTTGGTAGAAATCATGGATGATTGAATAATTCTTGGGTAAGCATGTAGCTGCCATTGTCAAAGCTGCTGCCATCACCCTTAGCACATGAACTCCTTCATGCACTGAAGGTGGAAAATAGATCTGATACTTAGGGCTGGATGATCACATTCCAGGGTGAGAACAAAGTGGGAAATCTCACATTCAGAGAGAAGAGATCAGCAAGCCAATGGCCCCCAGTTAATAATGTTCAGTGGTATCATGGGAGGTTTGGATTTGTTTTGTCATATTGCCAAGTCTCAGACTGGTGCCCTTTCCTCCAATGCCTCCCCAGTCAAAGTATTGCTTCATTTCCCCATTGCTTAAATTGGCCAAATTGCTTTGTTCTCCTTTGTCCTTGCCTACTGAGTCCACATTTCATAGCTTACTTTTTTGATTTCACACACACTGGAACCTGAGCAGAGCTAGGCAAAATCTCCTTATCTTGTAATATGCTGGTTTTAATTAATCACTATTTTAATGTTATGCTTCAAAATGATGCTACAGCATCAATATTTTTCATCTTTTTGTTACAGAAGACCAAAAGCTCACTTAAAATAACAGTTATTGAAAGAGATTACCAGAAAATATATTTTTATTATATCCTGTCTCTTTGTTTACTTTGTGCATTTGTTAGCAGCATGTGTCCTGTCAGTGTCACTGCTGGGTCTGTGCTTGCAGGGCAGACCTGGAAACTGAGTTTGAGGCCAAGTTAGTTTGACTGTCTTATTGTCTGCCAAGCTAAGAGGCAACCTTAGGATAGCAGGACACACCTCAGCTACCCATCTGCACTTTCAAATGCATGTAGATGCTATGTACCTGCTATAGGATCAGGTCCCAGCACTCAGTGTTGGGTCTCACAGCCTCTCTACCCCTTCTGTCCTCATCACACAGACAACAGCAGGCAGAGAGGCCAGCCTGCAATCCTTTTAAGAAAGATCTGACATTGCCAGCACTGTGACCAGATTGGGTTTTGGAAGCAGCCTGAATGCCTTCCCTGCTCACCTGCTCAGCTGAGTGCAGACAGGACGGCTGCTCCCTCTCTGTGATCAGAGAGGAACTAATCCTGCCAGAAAAGCTGGCTGTCAGTTCCTCTAAGGCTTCTGGGACAACTCACTTGAGGAGGGCACTCATGCATCAGTGTTCAATGAACTTGGAGTTGGCCAATTTTAAATGATTTAGAGAGCACTTCACAAAAACGTCATTTAAAATAGTGAAAACTTGCAACTAGTAGGAGAAACTCTTAAACACTTTTTAGATATATTAACCTGGCCTCAAAATGATTGTGTCCTGCTTTTTCAGCTGCTTACAAAGTATACTAAACAAGCTTATATGTCAAGTTATCTTCTGCAGTTCATTGCAGGAGAACTTTCTATATGTGATGGTGTTCATATTATTAATTCTCTTTTTAAAAAAGGCATCTGGATTCAGACATGCAAGCAAGGTTATAAATGAAACAGTATTTTTTTTGTCATTTTAATAGGCTACCAATGGAAAGCAGGGGGCTCTGTATGCTTTTTCAAATCTAATGAGAGGTAGATAGGCATCTAAAGCACAACAGCCTCATACTGGCACATAAGAGAATGGAATTTCCTGGGAACATAATTAAACTGGCCAGCCTTCCTTCATTTGCCAACCTGAGTTAAGTTACAAAAATAGACAAAACCAAAAAACTAAATATATCAGGCTCCATCTTGAATCCATGGGCCCTGAGCAACACAGCAAGGGACAAAACATCATCACAGACTCCTCCATGTTCTCCTTCCCGTTTCAGGAAAAGATGAGATACTGTCAGTTGTCTATCCCAGGGTGATATATACTCCATGCCAACACTCCACCCATTTTCTACCCACCACTTTCCCTCTACCTGCTGAGGAGGAACATATGGATCACTGGAATCTGCTACTGTTCTCATTCTGCCTCTCAAAATAAATATTCAGAAAACTAATGCTGTGCTTTCGACATGTATGTGATTAGTGTACCAGCTAAGGATATTTGAATCTACAGGAAGAGAAGAGCCTGTTTTAAACCACCTTTTAACAAGCAGAGTGACTGAAGGCACTAGCCCTGCAGAATATTTGTAATTGGGATTAATTTTTCTTTTTGATTCAGAACTTAGGCCATGGATTTTTACCTTAATAGAATTCCTCTGCAATAGGGGCAGATTGTACCCTCCCTTACACCAAGGACCTTTGAAATAACTCCTTATGTTGACAAAATGAAGAAAAATCTTTGAGATTATAAAACAAGGACACAGTTTGAGGGATGGGCTGTGTGTTTTTAAAAGTCACCTTTCAGTAGAAGAGAATGAAATTGTGCAGATGTCCTGCCTTTTGTTTTTCAGAAAGCAATGTCAGAAGGATTGACTTGGCAACGAAGATGTAACAGCACAGTCTGGACACTGGACTTGCAGAATATACTCAGCCATGTGTCACTTAATAGAGAGCTCCCTGGACCAGAAGATCGATGTACAAACAGGACAGATGGGGAGTGACAATTGAAAGAATGTAGAGGCTCATCCGAGGCTTACAGAGACCTGTCATTCCTGGGGTATGCCTACAATCTCCTTCAACAAAAGAGCTCCTGAGGGAAGGAGGGGATTAGTCAGAAGTTGAGTGAGGTCTCCGGGGAAGATGGTTTCTTGGATAGAGTTGTCAACAAAAGGAATTGTTTAAGACTATTTGTTATAATTTCCTAGAGGGAGCTTCTGCCATTACTAACAGGATTACCAGCATACTGGTTCCACACCAGCAGAGCATTAGACATGTGCATTGCAGACTGGTTGCTTAGAGCTGAATCCAGGGGTCTTATACAGCATCCCAAATGTGTGCAGGTGTTGATGAGCAGAGGGGAGATGGCAGAGAATTAAGATGTAGCCAAATGCAGTCCATTTTTGGTCCAGCTGTTGCAGAGAGTCCTGGCTCATTAATGAGTTTCCACAGTGTTTTAATCTCCTTGATCTCAAGGCTGCTGACAGACTATGAGAAGGAAAGCTAATCTGAGGTGAGTGCTGATGGGGATACATGGGGAAATCAGAGACCTCTTTCCCAACTGCAATTACCGTGAAATTTCTCATAAAATTCTTTCTGGAAGAATTGGGAAAGCAAGTAATTTACTGTGTTGAAGTACTAGTCTGCTTGGTTTCAGTTATCTTAGATACTTCTTCTTAGCTCTGAGAAACAGAAACCAGTAGCCTTGGTGTAACCTTACAGCACATTTGGGAAAAAAAGACAAAGATAAATCACTGAGGTGCAGACATACAAATCTTCTTGATCGTTTTAATCTATCTGTGTAGTGTTACTGGCATGACTGGGAGAACTTCTCTGAGCGAGAATTTTTCAGAGCATTGAGGCACTGGAACAAAACCAGTCAAGGAGCTATGGGTGGCAGCCATAGAAAGAGCTGAAAGGTGAGCTTTTAGTGTAAGAGAGCTGCATCTCCGGCCCCACTCCAGTCCATCATTTACCAAACACACACTGCAGATCTGGGCAGGAAGCAGCACAATTGTTTATGTTCTCCTTTGCCCTTGCTACAGACATAATTTCAGGAATGCATAGATTAGCTACATTAGAGGGGACATGGACTATCTGCAGGAACTGCTCAGTTAAGAGGACAAGATTTTCCTTAGGTTATTTTCCCTAAAATTCTCTGCCTTGATGAAAAGGCAAGCTATGTTCCAGAAGTCTTTCTACCTCTAGACTGCATGGACTTGGATCTCCCAAACACCTGCCACTCTCAATGACCTGACCTCCCTTTGCAATACTAAATAGAACAGCTGTATATGATGCCCAAGTTGGGATTGGGGTTGTTTTGCATTCCTTTTGCATTCTTGGAGATGTCTGGACTAAGAGCAGTGAAGAAGCAGGATCTCCAGGGCCTGCAGTGGGACGGTTGTGGCTGGTTATCTGCTCCTAATTGAGTGCAACTAAATGCTCAGGAGACATTAAATGAAATATTTGTTATGCATGGGCAGTGAGGGATCTAATGATAAGAACTGAGTCACCTTTCCTCATGGTCTATCCAGAGCATCAATTGCAAATTTCTTCTGCCCTGGAGCAGTGGTACAGAATGGCTTTGCTATTTTACATAACTGCCACTCCATAATGGCCATGCCATTGCTAAATTTAGCCATATGCTAAATTGCCAAAGAGTCAAATGATACCTTTTAATTCTGTATCTAGAGGGGCAGAAAGCCAGGAAGACCCTGGGTATTCTGCAACCCAGCAGTCTTCCATTCATTAACTCAACATTGCAGGCCCAATGCCTAAAACATGGCAGATCAGAGAGAAACTGACTCCTCTCTTCAACTAATGGAAATATTATTTACATCAGAAGTACTAATCTCAATAGATTTTCCATCCCCCGGCCTGCACAATCTCAGGGGCAACAGCTTTTGGGGAGAATGGATGTAGTGTTGTAACGAGTCAGAAAGAGTAGGTAACAAAAACCATGTCTGAATTCATGTACCAAGTTAGTGCCACCCAAAAAGGCAGTTCTGCTTCCCCCATTTCTCTCCCAGCTTCAAGCTTTACAGTCTTTCTCTTTTTTCTCTCTGGCACCTTTGTAAGCCTTTGAAGAACTGATTTAATTCCCTAAACAGATGGAAGACTATGAACTCTTTTGCTGAGTTAGTTTTTCATTGTTTTAGCGACCTGAATCAGATTATGCAGGGAGAAAAGTACCAGACTTCATTCATGGATGAGTGTGGAGTAGGAAAGGAGGTGGAAAAATCCATAAATTTCATATTCTCTTATCTCCAGCCTGCTCACATCTAGTTCCTGTGGGGTGATCATCCTCTGTCACATCTGAATATTGTTTTGAGATAGTAACTGAATGGGTTGTAGCAAGTAAGTGCTCAGTACTGCTGTCATTTATGTGGGCCCATCTCAAATCCAAATGTTTGCTGTTGAACACCTCACAAAAAGTCACAGACGTTGGCAGAGAGATGCAGGACTGACCTTTCCTTTTTTTTCCCCAGAAAATACTTTCTTTTGGCAGGGACAGGATGCTTTGATAAAGCAGGTGAGAGTTTACAAAGTGCATGTAAATGGAGATTATTGTGCTTAAGGGTCATCAGACTGTTTCTTCTCACCACCTAATAAAAAACCAAAAACAAATCTGAGGTTTTTGAGAAATCCTTTAACATCCTCATTTATGTAAAGAGAATTTAACATCAGACTGAAATATTTGCTTTAAAAACATCTGGAAGTAAATGAAATAACTTCTTTCCCAGGCCAGGATTCTGTTTTGTTTCAGCCTGGAGCAAGTTTGTTGGCCAAATTATATAAGCCCAAGAAAAGATCCAAGGGCTTTAAAACTAGCAAACCTCTGTCTGAAATGGTGCAAGTGGGCAATGTTCTTTAAAGTGTGTGTGGGGGAGGGAAATGCCAGGAAAATCCCCCTCACAAGCCAGAACTGCATTTGGGGAGCCCAGATGAAAGCTCTGATGCGGGTCATGTGACAGGTGTCACTTCAGTAATGATATTGGGGCAGAGATAAAAGTCCTCGCCGGCTGGTCATGTGACATCGCTTCATTACTGGCACAGCAGGTGGTCGCAGAGACTCAATGCCTTTATTTTTTATTATTTTTTAATTTTTTTTATTCTGTGATAATGAGAAAATGTTTAAACTTCCATCCCTGTGTTTAAACACTTCTTCATGCTGACAGCAGCAGGAGATCCCTTGATCAGCTGTCAGATGGGAAAGTGCAATTTTTCTGGAAAGTAAACAGCGTGTTTGCCAGTTGGAAATCATTTTCTGTTTGTTGGGACTGCTAGTCGCGGTGTGATGGAGCCATGTCACAGCATCTGACAACTCGGGAGTGGGGAATAGAAAACAGGCTGAGAAATGGGGTTTAGATTCTGCCTCTGATAACAGCAGCTTGAGATTTGTGACACTTCGTTATTGTTATTGTGTGGAAAAAATCACCACTCACTGGTTGCTATGAAACTTTTAAAGCAGCAGCTCAGTGCCAGTGTGAATGTGTGGGACCTCCTAAAAGAAACTCACGCATTTTAATAGAAACTTTCCTGGAAGAAAAGCAAAAACTACACAACGAAACTCAGTAGGTGTGGAGGTGTGTGGAGGTGAAGGTGGTCAGGTCTCATTCCTGACTTACAAGAAGAAACAAAAAAATGTTTTCTTATTAGCAAACTTTACATGGTTCTGATGTCACGTAGGTTTGGGTAACCCACTGGGAATTTCAGGTAAGAAAAGGAAGGCAAATGTGGTCACAAGGTCATGCAAAAGAGCTCAACCCCACCCTGAGCCTAGCTGAAATCAGAGTCCTTAAGGTCTCCTTCCGAAGTGCCCTGGAATCCAACTAAGTTAACTTTAAATGCTAATCACATATTTTAAAATTCTCCTGTTAGGCAAATACCTTCTCAAAGTCAATTCCTGTTGAGAAAAAGGAGATACAGATATTATATACATAATTTTAATTAAAATTAGGGTTTGAATGTGCCTATGCAGAGCCATACACAACATTTTTCCTAGGCAAACACAGACAACATCTTTTGTGCAGAATCAACAAATCAACCTGATTTCAACACCGGGAAAGTTAATTACTCAGAGCACTGCTCAAATCACGTAAAAAATATTCGCAGCAATTATGTTACATGAAATCCTTGGTAGCTTCCCAACAAATGCTTTCCTGTGCTGGCTGCACTGCAGCATTCTGCCTCTTCCTAAAGATCCCAAATAAAAGCTTCCTGCCTGTTACACCGACCCGTAGCTCCCCCGCACCCCAAAAGCCCTGGAGCCTTCTTGCTTCAGCCCGGCTGCGGCTCTGCTGAGGCCGGTGGGGCTGGGGGCGGCTGCAATCAGGGGCTGGGCCCGACCAGCAGCAAAAACCATCCCAAGCAGAGATCAGATCAGAATCTGGCCCGTTGTTAGCAGTCATTAAAAAACATTGCACTTTTAATAGGAGCTTATTCAATTAGCAGACTAACAGGCTCCATCAGATAAGCTGGGGATTTCCCTGGGAATCTGAGTCACATACATGAAGCTGCTCTGCACTGTATGGTTAACCCTCTCCATGCAGAACCAGCAAATCCCAGGAAAGGGTTTATTTTAGGGTTTTTAAGGGAGAAGCAGGAGCCCTCCACTGAGCCTCAAGGCCTCCGGAGGTGCCAGTGCCGAGTGAGTCACACGCTGGAAGGACCCAGGAGGATCATGGCACCAAACTCACTGCTGCAGACAGGAGACTCGCCTGATCTCCGATAAACACGCTGACATTTGGCAGCCTGACAGCTTCACAGTCCCATAAGAGGCTTCCTAATTAGAGCCTGGGTGAGAAATAATCCACAACTTGAAGTTTGTCTCTAGCTTCCTTGCTGTACCTTTTTTCTCCTCCCTTTTTGTGCCTTTTTTCCCTTTTCAGTGTT